AAATGTAAACGAGAAGGTTTTTCCTAAAAATAGTTCCACAAAAATATCTGAATACTTTTTTGAAAACGATACCACGCAAGTAAATTCAAGTAATTTTATTAGGTATATATATTGTACTCAATATCCGAATTTTTCCAAAAATAGGGCTAATCAAGATGTCTAGGGTATGTTGATAACCTGGGTAAACGATAATAATAATAATAATAATACAAAATGGTCAGAAGGGTTGAGATTTAAGCAGTCAAAGAGAAACAGATCTTTTCATAAACGAATTGGTAGGAGCCCTTATTAGGCCATGTTTGGTAGCAGAAAAACAAATGTTTTAGAAGATGGAGGCCTTCTGAAAGATGTCCTTGATCTTCTTCTTCAAGTGCCGTCTCCATCAATGGAGGTTAGCAGTTATGGTGGCAAACGTTTGTCTATCTTCAGCTGTTCTTAAGAGTTCCTCAAATCCAAGTCCTGTCCAGTTTCTGATATTACGTAACCAGGACAATTTTTTTCTTCCAATTCCTCGCTTTCCTTCTATTTTACCTTTTATTATCAACTGAGGGATGTAGTATTTCTCGTTGCGCAACAAATGCCCTAAATAACTGGTTTTTCTTCTTATGACTGTTCTCAATAGTTCTTTTTCTAAATTGAGTCTAGCTAGTACTTCTTCATTTGTTTTTCGTGCTGTCCAAGGAATTTTTAAAATTCTACGGTACACCCACATTTCAAATGCCTCGATTCTATTCAGGCTCTTTATTTTTAAAGTCCATGTTTCGACTCCGTAGAGAAGAACAGACCAGATAAAACATTTTACAAGTTTTAATCTCAATTTAATATTTATATGTGTATCGCAGAATAGAACGCACATCTTAAAGAAACTATCCCTAGCTTGAGCAATTCTCGCTTTAATTTCTTGTTCTGGGTCCAGCTTGCAATTAATCCAACAGCCAAGGTATTTGTATTGGTTTACCTGTTCTAAAATATTTCCATCTATTTTTATAGGTAAGGGGAGATTCTGTTTTCTTTGGATCACCATTACTTTTGTTTTTTTTCGTTGATCTTCATTCGAAACTCTCGACAAGCATCCTTAAGGTGGTCTATAACCCTCTGTAAGTTTGTGTCTGTATCAGCCAGTAGGACAGTGTCATCTGCATATCTTATGCTAGATATTGGTTCTCCATTAATTTTTATTCCTGTGGAAAGGTTTTCCAAGGCTTGCTTGAATAGTAGTAAACTGTCCTTGATAAACTACAAAATGAAGAAGACTTGGAAGAATTAATAAGTAGCATGGAAAACGAATATGATGATGATTATTTAAATAATGGAGAAGAAAGCAACAGTGTAGAACCCTGCCAAGAGAATTTAGGATATAATAATGAATAAAAATAATGAAGATGCATCCAATATACAAAAAGGCAAAGTTGACGGCAATTTCAATGACCAGATAACTTAAAGAAGTGGGAGAATATTGAATGAGAAAGAAGAATCACATAGAATAATAAGAGTTCAGGCATTAAAGATGATATGTAAGTAAAAAAATTGCTTCTTAAAAAAAAGGAACTAATGATTTGATTCTAGTGCCGGATGTATTTCTGAAATTAATAATGATGGCTTGTAGAATTTCAGTACTCAGAATGGACCACTGAATAGATTATTTTCAAGAAATGAACTCCTTCAATCCGATTCGCAATTTATGTTGACTCCAATGATATTAGTAGTAAGAAAATACCCTTGCGAACTGCATCAAATATGTCATCCAAAGGTTATGGTCAAGGTTTTCTCAGATGCAAATGTAGTAGATTTTGTGGCGACAATAAATGTTCTTGTAAACAAAGGAACAAACAATGTAATTCAAAGTTTTTAAAAGTGAAACTGGAACAAACCATGAAGTGGAGATATCCAGGAGTGGCTAGTATACCTGTTGAATACAAAGCACGTGGTGTTCGTGTGTATTAAGGTATAAAAACGCTTATTAAAAGCTTAAAATTTTTTATTATAAAGAAGATCTTTTCGGAATTGTATCATTCCATCATCAGTTTAATAAAAAAGGTTGTTAAAAAACATTGTGTGGCCACATAAAAACATTCGGTGGACATCTGGATTTAAAAAATAACACGAAGAATATTATTTTTTAAATCCAGATGTCCACCGAATGTTTTTTATGTGGCCACACAATGTTTTTTAACAACCTTTTTTATTAAACTGATGATGGAATGATACAATTCCGAAAAGATCTTCTTTATAATAAAAAATTTTAAGCTTTTAATAAGCGTTTTTATACCTTAATACACACGAACACCACGTGCTTTGTAATTCAAAGTGTCATGGATCGCTGACATGCAAAAATAAATGACGAAATTTGGCTCTAAAAATTTTTGTATTTAAAACTTATTTTTATCTGCAATTTTTAAATAAAATTAGCAGTCTCGTTAAGTGGGTATTTGAATTTGTATTTACATCATTTATCGCATTATATCCACAACTCGTTTTGTGTTCTTCAACAATACCCAAAACGCGATGTGAGAAATAAACGAAATTCACAACGTCGTGGTATTAATTTCGGTCAATGGCCGAATCCGGTTATTGAGTACAACATATTGTATTAGCTATACAAATTTTTATCAATTACCTCTCTAGTGTGTAAGTAATTTTAAAAAAAGTCCAGAGAGTATATAAACAAAAACTAAACTGTTATAAATGTCTCAATATCATTTAATAAAGCTAAAAAATGCATCTTAATAAAGTAAAAAACCACATGTTTGAATAAAAACTGACAGATATCTCCGTTTTTTTGCCAATGTTTGTAAAAGCTGTGGTTAAACCAGATTGTAATAAATACAAAGAACAATAAAATTACATTAAATTTCTTTAACATATTTTTTTGCAATGTTCTTCAGGGATCAAATGACTTTTCCCGGTAATTTGAGTCGTATCTTAAACACAGCCTCAGCCGATTTTATTATAAACCTACCAACTAGGCAGCTGTTTAGACAATAACTCGCAAAAATATGACTTGTATTGATGGTTGCGTGCTATGCATCTAAGTTAAATTCGTCTTGTTTTGCGCAGATACGAATCACATAATGGTATTATAAATTTATTTTAACAGATAATAAATGTCATTATGTTTCAAATGTTATTTTGTACATTTTAAATTAATTTCCGATAAAAAAATACTCAATTAAGTTAATATAAAGAGATATTATAAATAGTTGTGTGAATACTATTTGGGAAATATTTCGGCAAACCTGTACGTTCAATGTTGTTTCAGATTGGTCTATATTATTTAATATATAATAGATTCTCTTAAATCTAAAATGGTCTAATATTGTTAAGATTCCGTAGCCAATCGTATTCTTGCCGATTCTCTTGATCGATTATGAACTTCAGCGGTCCTTAAAGTTACACCAAATATGTCTTCGTGATATCTATTTTCGTCCTGAAACATACAAAGTATTACAACAAGGTTCAGTCAATATTTGGTGCTTAAATTTAATTTACATTCGCGTTTTGTTTGAAGCTACGCTTTATAGTAGCTACAGCTTTTTCTTTACGGTTTTTTTTTGAGGCATAGAAATGTAAATTGATAGTTGACAGTACAGCTGTCAAGTGATTTATGTTTAGTTTTATTTGCGATTTCAGCATGAATAAACAGGCTAAAATAAACAAAGATTGGTTTGACAAAGAATGTAGATCCATTTACCAACAGAAAAATGAAGCATATAAGAGACTTTAGCAGCGCATAACGAGATCAAACCTAGAAGACTATAAAAATCTTAGACGAGAGGAAAAAAACGTTTAGAAGGAAAAAGAAAGAGCCATACGAAAATGCTCTCAACGTGATTGTTAACCACCAAGGAAAATATATGGAGGAGTGCAAGCACAGGGTTTGTGGGGTAGCCGCTACAACTTTGAGTCATACAAAATGTATTACATTAGCTCGCTTTCGATGGATAGGACATGTAATTAGGCGAGATGAAGATGTAACGATCAGAAAAAATTTCGACCGAAGAGGACCAGTGGGAAGACGAGCCAGAGGAAGACCAAAACTTAAGTATTAACATAACATATAGGATGATCTAAAAGTCATAGGAGTTAAAGCATGAAGAAGAGTTGCCAGAGGCTTTGGTTTAAAACGATCTGTAATGCCACTGATGATGATGACATAATCAGTTGTTGCTGATGTAGAGCGTAGCATAGAGGAAGACTCGAATAAGCCCATCCGTCATCGTGCACAGCAATTTAATATGTGTCTACTCACTTCATGAAAAATTTTGCGAAAAGATCTTGGTTTGCGTGCTTAAAAAATCCAGCTCATGCAAAAATTAAAGCTACACGATCATCTGACAAGGATAAAACAAGACTGCCGTATTTGGAGTCAAGATAATACCTAAGTCTATGTTGAGACACCATTACATCCAGAAAAACTGACTATTTGGTGTTAGATTTGTTATAGACTGTGGTTTTAACAAGACGGCACAACATGTTACACAGCTCAGGCCATAATTGATGTATTGAAAGAAACGTTTAATAAACGCATAGTTTCACGTTTCGGGTCCATGAATTGGCCTCTAAAATTGTGCGATTGAATATCGCCAGAATATTTTCTGCAGAGATAGGTGAATTTGCTAGTCTACGCCGATAAGCCTTAAACGATTGACCACATAGAGAACAACATTCGCCGCCGCGTTATTGTCGATATAAAGCCACAAATGTTAGAAAAAGTCATTAAAAATTGGACCTCTATATTGGACAAAGTTATATAACTCGCTATATAACTATAGCTATATAACTAAAAAATACCCATTAAAATTTCTTAAAGCTTTCATACTTACTCTCAATGCTAACATATATGACTGAACTTCTGAATCACTCATTTTTCCTTCTTTCTGAATTATGTTTTGGACTGTCTGGTACACATCTTCAGCCATTGTAATGTCTCCGCAAATGTATAAATGACCTTTTTCCTTAACGAGAAGTTGGTAAATTGCTTCTGATTCTTTTAAGGCTAAATCTTGTACGTAAACCTAAAAATAAAATAACTATTTTAATATCAAATTACAAGTTTTCAAGTCGCAACAATCTTATTCTGTTTTGTACTGTTTCCGATATTAAATATGTAAGTCAGTTACCTTTGGTTCACCAGGTTCTCTGGATAAAGCAAGGAACACGCGGTCCATAACATTCATTTTGACCATTTCGTCCTTTTCGTCTCCAAACAGATCCATATCTTTCGTTCTGCAACCGAAGAACAACCACTTTTTGCCCAAGTTACCGGGTTTTTCTTTCATTATGGCTTCCCTTTCTTGCCAGAAACCACGGAATGGTGCAATTCCAGTTCCTGGACCTACTGCAATAATTGGCAGAGACTCATCCGTTGGTAGATAGAATCCTGGGGCACTGAAAAGGGAAGATAGGGAATTATTAGAAGTAAAAGTTGTTGGTGGTTGAAGTAAATACGCCTTTAACTCCAACTGAATTTAAAATATTTACAATTTATTAAAGTATACAATCTGATGTTAATATTAAGTACCATCGTTAAAAAGTTACAAAAGATCGATTACATCTGTCAGTCTTAATATATCGAATGATTGAGACCTGAATTTACATGCAAAACTTTCAGCTATGATTTGATCTGTTATACCTTTTCCATTCAGTGGTGGATTTTTTAAGGAGTTTTATAAACTTTCATTTGTTCTATTTTTTATTCAAACTTGAGAGTCAACAGTAATTGTAGAAACAAAATTTTGCCAGGAATCTTTTTTACTTTTTTTAAGGACATATTTCGCTTTGGATCTTAGCTTTTTAAAATAGATCAGGTTTTCTGGAGTTCTTCTTTCTCGATATCTGTTGAGGGCCGTTTGGCATTGACGTATAGTTACAGTGGGTGATCAAATTATTATGATCAGTCACAAAAATTTAAGTTTTTCATATTTGTTCAGAAATTTTATAATAAAATTATATGCTGATATACGATTAAAGTATGCCAATATATTTTGTCACTGATAACCTTACTTTTTTGACGTTTACCGCTCTAGAACTGTCATTTGTGTCAAATTACGTGACAACATACACATTGTGGTGAATTTACGCTTGGAGTTTACAACTGAATTTGTATGTTTTTGTATTGTTTTTGAAAGATTAGTATCGTTTTATCTTTGTAGTATGTTTTATTAATTTATTAGTGGTGATTGTGAGTGAAAAAAGAATATCAGTTTTAATTTTAAAGACATTTTCAAAACATTTCGATTTTTGAGAAGAAAATCATAATGGGTAAGGCTAAAGACGTCCCTGTGTATAAAATGGTGGAAATAAAGACACTTTTATTGAATACAAAGCTTTCCCAACGTCAGATAGCTCAACAATGCCAAGTAGCGCAAGCAACAGTGAGCAATATCAAGAAAAAAATTGAAACCAACAAACCCCTGATTCACCAGCGTGCCCAAAAATGTGGTCGAAAGCGTGTCACTACACCCAGAGACGAAAGAAAAATGAGGGATATATTCGTAAACAATAGAAAGAAGCCAAGAAGAATCCTCACGGGACTTATTCGTGAAGCTGGTATGCCAGTTTCTGACATGACAGTCCGCAGAAGGCTTACTGAGCAAGGTTTCAAATCATGTCGCCCTGCCAAAAAACCAAAGTTGACCATCGTAATGATGAAAAAGAGACTGGAATGGGCCAAAGAACACCAAAATTGGACAATTGAGGATTGGAATAAGGTAAATTACGTCACTACTAAAGTTTAAATCACTATAACCACTGTTTTTATCATAAAAAAAATATCTTATAGTTTTTTTTATTCACAGGTTTGTTTCTCCCATGAGTCTACAGTGGAGATACTCATGGATAAGTCGGCCTTCGTCCGAAGGCGAGTGGGTCAAAAATATCATAATGATTGCATAGTGGAGCGAGAAAAGCATCCTCTCAAGATTATGGTATGGTCTGTGATCAGCAGTAAGGGCACAGGGAGGCTGTACATTGTAAATGGAATGATGAATCAACATCAGTATATTGAAGTTCTGGAAAAAAAAAACTCATGCGACAAATCAAAGACTGGTTTGGCGAATCGGAGGATTTTACCTTTATGCACGATTCAGCACCGTGCCATAAGGCAAAAAGAGTAACATCGTACCTGGAAAAAAAAGAAAATTAAAGTACTGAAGTGGTCAGGTAATTCCCCAGACCTCAATCCGATCGAAAATCTATGGGAGCTTATGAAGAGGGGGGTTGCCCAGGAAATTGTCACAAATAAGCAGCAGTTAATTGAGAGACTCATTGCCACCTGGCACAGAAACGATAAAATAAAAGAAAACTGCCTGAGAAACATTCAAAGCATGCCAAGGAGGATCAAAGCTGTCATCGAAGCTAAAGGAGGTCACACAAAATATTAAAAAAAAAAATGTTATTTAAGGTCAAAGAAAAAAATATTTTAAAATTTTGTAAAAGAACGTGTCTATGATCTATTTTTATATTATATTCACATTATTAGACACTCATATGTAGTTTTATTCTTTATTAAACAGTAAAATATAAAGTTTTTTGAAGTGATTATAATAATTTGATCACCCACTGTAGTTCCACCACGGTACTGCTTTCTTAGAGGGGCATGTTGTTATTTTTTTACATGATTTTCTGTAGATATAATAATGCAGTTATTAAAGAGAGATATTGCCTCGTCTATATCTTAATAAAGTAATAAAATATGATCTTCGGCGCTAGTTTGAAAATTATTCTAGTCCGCTTTAGCGATATTCCATTAAATAATGGTGCAAATATTTTTATTGCTATTTGTTATGACTATCGGGAAGTGGTTACTATTATATGAGCTATCTAAAGTATACCATGAGAGTGAATTGGCAGACTTGGGATCACATATGCTTAGATCGATAGAAGAGTAAGTTCCTAAGGTGATGTAAAAATACATACTGGCCCACTATTCATCAGACCAGTATTATTGCAACTCAATACGGTCTCTACGGTTTTTCCTCTACCAAATGTTTTCTTTAAGCCCCACATAGTATTATGGGTATTAAAGTCTCCAACTAGTATAAAAAGACTGGGAAGTTGGCGAATTAAGTCATCTAACTCGGTTTTTGTTAAGTTGTAATTAGGTGGAATATATGTACTGCATATGGTTATTTGGTCGGGACAGCAGGCAGTTATTGCTATGGCCTCCAAATTGGTACTTAAGATAAATTGTATAGAAAATAAATCATTAGACACGAAGATGGATGTTCCTCCACTTGCTCTTGTAAACGTAGTCCAAAGGAAATGGTAACCTTCAAAATTTTTAAGTTCACGTCTATGTGTTTCCTTGAAATTAGTTTCTTGAAAGCAGATGGTATCTACTTTTGTATTATTGAATAATTGTTGTAAGCGTTCTTAGCGAGGGTAGAACCCATCGCAGTTCCACTGTACTAACGTGAAAGTAAAATACTTTAAACATTGAGAACGTTACAAGGTCAGAGAACAGTCGCTTAGATAATCGTCACCATTATTTGTAGATTGCGATGTTTTACTTCCAATTTTTGAATTGTCTATATTAAGTTGCTGGTTAATTTTCTTAGAAACTCTTGTAAATCTATTCTTGATTAGTCTATCTTCCAGTAAAGGGTGTATTCTAAACATGTCGTCGAGTAGTGATCGAACATTTTGAGTAAACTGCTGTGCTTCTTGTAGAGGGTTATTACTGCCGAATAAGTTTTCTAGAAAGGCAAGAAAATTTTCAACCGGTAAGGAGAAAAAGTTTGAATTATCTCGATAAAGATTATTGATTGTGATAACAAAGGAAGCGGTTAATTTAGACTGATCTAGTGCAACTTTCTTGGATTTTTTAGTTTTATGCTTTTTTGCATCGGGTGAAAGCATTTTTATGCCTTTTATAGGTAAGTTAGTAGATGTGTTTTTTCTTGGGAGGTAGAATCACTGAAGTCAGAACGAGTTCGTTTCTAACCAGTGATAGGAGAAAGAAATTCGTTGTTTGCAGCAATAGAAGGGGTGGATATATCAACAGTTTTTATCTGTTGACTGGGAACCGAATTTTGCGTTGTGTTTGGTGGTGCCATATTTTTTGATATTGGGTTAGCAGGGATGGGTTCAGCTGGGGACGTTTGTTCATTTGATAGAGAATTGCTAGAAGGATTTTGATAGTTATTTGCTATATGTCCATGTTTTTGCATAGAAAACATGCCATTTTGTCAGTAGAGAGAAATATTCTATACGATTTATTGTCGAATGGAATTATTATCGAAGTTTGAATTTCGAGGCTATCTTTAGTTGGAGTAACGTATACCTGTCTTCTAAAGCTCATAATATGCGTAAATTCATCACCGGAGATTCCAGCTTTAATATGTGACACTGGTGAAGCAAGCTAAAGACATAAATTTATATATTCCTTAGTTGTTTGGTACAATATTTTATTAGAAATTTTTATGAATATGAACATAAAGATGAGCTAATTTAATTTGCAGAATTTTAAAGTAAATTTGTATTTTTCTATTCTTGATATTGACATCTCAAAATTAGATGAGAGATTTCAAGATTTAGAAACACATGTAGAATCTTTTGGTTTTTTCAATAACTTAAGCACAGAATAATAAACAATCAGAATGCCCACTCTCCATGGAAAATTAAGTACGCGCATCTCCTTCGCGCAGAAATTTCCGCCATGTTTTAGAGGGAACCAGTGTTGTTTATGTGGTGTGCATAGAAAAATTAACCCAGTTTAATTGACTTACGGCAATCATAGACATACTATACAATTATATTAACATTGTTAAATATAATAACATAAATAATATATTTAAACATAAATATAATCAATTACATAACCTCACAAATCCTATGTCTGTGTTATGTGTTTCCTTCTAAAACATGGCGCACGTGCTGAAAAACTTCAAAAGCGGCGTCTGAGAGTGGGCATTTTGATGATTTATACTGCTTACGCCAGACCATACGTTCATGAGATTTGATGTCACGAAGGCGATAACGATGAAACTTAGCGCTAATGATAAGTAACACGTTTCACTATTAGATTTTAGTATTTTTTAGCAATTTTCTTCAAAGTTGGAACACGCTTTTCTCGATTATTTCTGGACACAGAAAGGTAAAGAAAAAATCAACGATTACAAAAAAAAAAAACTCTTTCAAGTGATGCGCGTAAAAAGTTTGGTTATAATAGAACGTTAAACAATATAATCCAATTTTTCAACTGAAGTTTCAAAAAAATAAAAAAAAGTAAAACGATCATTTTAAAGGCAACATAACTTCGAATAGAGTGTCCAAATTTCGAGACATTTTGTCGGTAAATAACAGGGAAAACACTGTCCCTAGGCTTTGGTGCACCGATAAAATAGCCTTAAGTGTCTCTTCTAAAGAGAAAGAAGTGAAATTTTGTACCGATATAGAAATTAAACTAACTGACCCGGAAACAAAAAATTTAGATATAAATGCAATAAATTTTTATAATGAAATTGATATATTGGAAATTTACATTACTAATAAAAATAAGATGTCCGCCAAAGAAGTGTTAGCCTATCTCATTGCTAACGAGTTAAAAGGAATATTTCCTAATTTATTTGTTACGCTTAGAAGATTTTTAACTACACTAGTCACTGTAGATAATGGGGAGCGATTATTTTCAAAACATAAATTAAAGATCTACTATGAGCCAATCCAGGCTTACAAATTTAGCTATAATAAGTATCGAGGAAGATATTTGTTTTAATTTAGATGTGACTGACCTAGTTGGGGAATTTGCACTTAAAAAGGCAAGGAAAGTCGATTTTAGTATTTACATACACGTGTATACCTACCTAGTGCTGTATTTCTTTTTTCTTTATTTTACTTTATTTTTCTTAAAATAGCTATGTCGGCTTTTGTATTTTTGTTATACCAAATTATATTTATGTACCTAATATGTTAAAAAATATCACAAGAATGGCTTTTATCCACCTTTGTTATTATACCAAAAAAGATAAATGCCTAACAATGTAGTGATTACCGTACAATCAGTCTGATGAGCCATGTACTGCAAATATTCCTGAAAATTATACACTCTAGAGTACACAGAAAGTTTGGATTCCGAAATGGACTCGGAACAAGAGAGGCGTTGTTTGCACTGAACGTTATGTCTCAAAGATGTCTTGACATAAATCAAGAGGTATTCATGTGTTTCATAGATTACAACAAGGCCTTTGATAAAGTGCGGCATGATCACCTAATCAGACTCCTAACAGAAAAGAATTTAGATAAACGAGACATTCGACTAATAGCAAATATGTACTACAATCAGAAAGCAGTAGTGAGAGTGGAGAATAATACCACTAAAGAAATTGAAATAAAGCGAGGTGTGAGACAAGGGTGTATACTGTCACCAACCCTGTTTAATCTCTATTCCGAAGACGTAATGAATAGAACACTCTCTGAGCAATCCGTAGGTATTAAAATAAATGGTGTTAGATTAAACAATCTGAGATTTGCCGACGACACCGTTCTGATCGCAGAAACACTTGAAGAGCTACAGACATTGGTGAATAAGATAGCAGACTGCAGCGAAGAATATGGACTATCTTTAAACACAAAGAAAACTAAATTTATGATAATATTGAAATCAACACAAAATGTCCAAAATTTATATTTACACAATGAAATTATCGATCGAGTTAGCAAATACAAATATTTAGGCACTTTTATAAATGAAGACAACGATAGCTCAGCAGAAATCAAAATAAGAATAGAAAAAGCCAGATCCATATTCACTAAAATGACGAGAGTGTTCTGCGGAAGAGATTTGAGCCTTGAAATGAAACTTCGCCTAATGAGATGTTACGTACTTTCTGTGCTATTTTACGGAATGGAGTCATGGACGTTGAAAAAGATTGATACCAAAAAATTAGAGGCATTTGAACTGTGGATGTATCGTAGAATCCTGAGAATATCATGGACCGAGAGAGTCACAAATTTCGAGGTTTTGAGAAGAATTAATAAAAAAAGGAAGTCATATTTACGATCAACAAACGAAAACTGCAAGACTTGGGACATATTACAAGAGGCAAAAGATATGAACTGCTTCGAATAATTATGCAAGCGAAAATAGCAGCAAAAAGGTCCATAGGAAGAAGACGAAACTACTGGCTAAAGAATCTACGGGAATGGTTTAGCTGTAGCAACAACGAATTGTTTTGGCCAGCAGTTTCGAAAATACGTATAGACCTGATGATCGCCAACCTTCGGAACGAAGATGGCACTTGAAGAAGAAGAAGACTTAATATGTTGTATAAGCTTATATTTATATTATAGTTATGTATCTATTCGTTGACTTAATAAATACATTTTTATAATTTAAAATGTTCAAAATTATGTTTTTATTAATTTTTGCTAATATGCAATGTTTTCTTATACACGTTTTCCAAAACTGCTGATAAGGCGGCAAATTTGGTTCTTGAGGTAGTTAACTGCGTTTGATAAATATGTCAAAAGTGAATTGTAATTCATGGTGGATCAAACGGTATCCGAAACTTGGAAGATTGGAAGGAAAACATTTATTTTGCACCGTGTGCCCGAAACTAGTAAGTTTTTTTATTTTTTACATATATGTGCCAGTAGTTTCTTTTGTTCTCCATAAATTCTTTAGATATTTAATTTATGCATCCTTTTTTTATGTATTAGTTTTTTACCTCAGTTATTTCACCTCTCGTGAAACGCCTGTGTAATGCATTAAAAAACTAAATATTAAATATTGAAAGGTAAACTCACCTTCGAACTGCAGTATAAACTTCATCGTTTAATTCAACCTCCTTTAAGTAATTTGAGCAAACACCGTAATGTAACTCACCATCTCCATCTAAAACAAATATTAATAAGTATTAGTTTTATTAATATTAAATTACAAATATAGATCGTGTTTAGCACTCGAACGAGTAAAACGTGTGCCAAGTACAATTAAAATCCAGTTTGCCTTATCGGTAGTAATTAGTGTTTAATTTAGATTTAATAGTGTAATTTCGAAAAGTGATTTCTGGACAAGCTTTGTACGTATTGCTTTTGTTATATTATTAAATCATATAAATTATATTTAATTTATACAAAGTGCATACCAGAGACTGGTTTTACCAGTCTGCTGGTTCTTGCTGGCCATCCAATTCAATGGATTTTAATACAAATTTGGATAGCAAAATTAGTTAAAGAAGAGAAATAAAACGAGGTTACTGTCTGTATTTACATGGACAGTACAAATATAAACAATACTCCTACAGTTTCTACCTTAACAATGGCCCTTCAAACTGCTACAAACAACATTCCAGCAACTACATCTCTTTCATACGTAACCGCTGCAAAATCTACACCAAAACCATCTTTTCCAAAAAAGAACAGGCGATAGTTCTTCACGCAGAAGAAAACCTTAAACTTCTAGACTACGTTAAAGCCATTGGTGACATCATCGGACCAAAAAATATTTTCTTTGCATCCAGAATATCTAACAATAGGATCTGCATATATCTAGTGAACTCAAATCTCGTTGATCAACTGCTGAAATCCCATCCAACCGTTCAAATCGGATGCCTTACTTTAAGTATTCGTAAACTTGTCTCCCCAACAAAAAGAATATTAATTTCGAACATCTCTCCTTACATTCCCCATGAACTGGCCGAAAATGCAGTGAAAAGTCTTGGTTTCCAAATAGCCTTTCCCGTGTCCTTTCTTAAAGCGGGCATTCCAGGTGATGAATACTCCCACATACTTAGTTTTCGCCGTCAAGTATATATTTTTCCTCCCTCTGATAATTTTGAGCTTCACACCTCCTTGTTAATTCCTTTTGAAGGCAATGATAATAGAATTTTTCTGTCTACGAACAAAATGGAATGTTTCTTATGCAAACAATCAGAACATGTTGCTTCTAATTGTCCCAATACTTCATCTGACAACTTATCATCTGAAAATCCTACTGTTTCCCATGTCCTCCCAAATCCCCCCACCGAATCAACGTCACAGCAACAGAATACACAATTTCCATCTCATTCTGAATCATCTCCCTCCCAAACAAATCTATCTTATTTGTCTTCTTCTCCAGAGAATTGCGAAAATGATACAATATCTGAAAAGTCAGATAAACTATGTTTAAGTTCTCATCTTTCACAGAAAAGGCCACGCTCATCTGTATCATCTATAAGCGATAAGAACCTTCAATCTGGGGAAAACCCTGCAACAGAACAAACTATGTTTTCTCCCAAACAAACAGTTCCTAGTTCCTCTAGCACCTCCAACACAAAAAAGAAATGAAAACGTAGTTCTTCTCTCGACCCCAGTCTATCCACTGACTCCAAGCAAGCAATACACGAAGCCTATAAACAAAACCCAGAAGCTTTTGCAGTTCCTCCTGATAATATAATTGCCTTTATCGAGAACTCTTACGGCAGCTGTGACCCTGTCTCAGAAGCATTTAAATTCACAACAGATATTAAATCACTCATTCTAACTTTGCAATCAATAAACCCTAATTTTAAAGATAGGTCAACAAAAATCAGAATTACACGCTTAATTAAAAAAATTAAAACTAAAATACATTCTGCAACAGATGATTCTGAAAGTATAAACAGTCTTGATAATTCCCAGGATGCTTGTGATAAAGAATACCTGTCTGATAGTTCACAAACCTCGCAAACATCCAAACACTCTACATATTAATTTCAACCTTCACACTGATACAATGGAATTGTGACGGATTTTATCCCCGTCGTCCACGCCTTGAACAGCTCATATCTGAGTCTTCTCCTGACTTTCTATGCCTACAAGAAACAAACTTCACTGATAAATATTCCGGACAAATTAAAAATTTTACAGGTTACCATTATATTCGAACTACCCAACTTCGTGCCAGTGGCGGAGCATCAATTTTTGTTTCCACTGATATTTTCCATAAAGAATTTCCGCTAAACACAAACCTCGAAGCTATAGCCGTTACAGCTTGGTGTCCCTACAAAATTACAATTTGTTGCATATACATCCCTCCAAACTACTGTTTAATAAGTTCCGATCTTGAAGATTTAACTTCTCAGCTTCCTACACCTTTTATCTTAGTAGGTGACTTTAATGCCCATAATACTATGTGGGGATCCGAAAACACATTTGGAAGAGGTAAAACAATCGAAAATTTTCTAAATAACGTAAATATAAACTTACTAAATTCAGGAAGTAGTACATACTTTCACATCCAATCGGGTAGTTTCTCTTCCATAGATTTATCTTTCTGTAATCCCGGAATATTTCCTTTACTTTCATGGTACACATTAAACAGTCTCTATGATAGTAATCATTTCCCTATCCTCATCTCTGACCAGTCAAGAATGCCCTCAAGAATTATAACAAAATGGAAAATCACTCAAGCAAACTGGGATCTTTTCAGAACCACTGTTAAGGGAAAAACCGATGAATTACTTTTTAACAATGATATAGATACATATGTAAAACTATTAAATAACTGTTTAACCGAATCTGCTGAGGAATGTATTGGTAAATGCGCGATTGATCCTTCCAAGAAACCTGTTCCGTGGTGGAATGAGTCGTGCAAAATAGCTGTCAAACAATGCAAAAAAGCATTAAATAAATTCCGGAAGACCCGTACCACCACGGATTTAATAAATTTTAAAAAACTTAGGGCCAATTCTAGGCGTATTTTAAAAGAAAGTAAGAAAGCCTCATGGAATCAATACGTTAGTTCAATCACAAAAGATACTTCTCCCGCGCAAATGTGGTCAAAGACGTATGAAAGGTCATAATACTTCCAGCAAAATAGCCGCCATCTCCCTGCAGGATCATACAGTTACCGATGATCAACATATTGCAGATATCTTTGCCTCTCACTTTTCAGATAAGTCAAATATTCCGAATCTTCCTAATAACTCAGATACCAACATTTCCAGCCCCAAAAAATATTTTCTAACACCAGCTCTATGAATCTTCCTTTTAATCTCCTAGAATTAAACGAAGCCATATCTTCATTAAAAAACTCAGCAGCTGGTCCTGACGATATCCCATCAATATTTTTAAAAAATCTCCATCCAGACACACATCTCAAACTGCTAGAGTTGTATAATAAGATCTGGTCTCAAAACAAGTTCCCAACGTTATGGCGACAAGCAACTACAATTCCTATTAAAAAGAATGACTCATCTCCAAATCTTCTAAAATCATATAGACCAATTTCTCTCACTTGTTCACTATGTAAACTGTTAGAAAAGATGGTCAATAAACGCTTACTATGGTATCTAGAAAGAAATAATATTCTTGACCCATTCCAAACAGGTTTCAGATCAAATCGAAGTACAATGGATAACCTGGTCACATTACATACTGAGATTGTTAATGCATTTTCGAATAGAAGCGAAGTCATAGCAGTAACTTTAGATATCCAAAGTGCCTTCGACACTGTACAAAGACCTCTAATTATAAGAAAATTAACGGAATATAATTTAACTGGTAACATTTATTTATTTTTAAAAATTTTTTTAACAAGTCGATATTTTAAAGTATTAACAAATGGAAAAATATCGAAACCACACGCTTTGGACAACGGTTTGCCTCAGGGCTCAGTCTTAAGCACTACCTTATTTTTACTTAGCATGAATGACTTTTCCTCATATATAGAACCACCAGTCAGGTACTCGATATATGCTGATGATATTATATTATACTGCCGAGGCAGAGTCACAGCTACCACAAGCACTTTGCTACAAAACACAATAAACAAAATAGACACCTGGTCTGCGCGTGCTGGATTTGTGTTTTCAGCTCCTAAATCCAAAGTAATTCACTTTACCAAAAAGCATAGACCTAATCCACCTTCTATAACTCTAAACGGACTTCGTTTACAAACAGTTAATTATTTGACACTTCTTGGTATCACCTTTGATAAAAAGCTTATCTGGAGACAGCATATTCAGAAACTTAAAGGAAACTGTACCCAAAGAATCAATTTACTTAAATCTCTTGCTAGCTTCTCTTGGGGAGCTGACGAAGAATCTCTTTTTAAAATATATAGAGCGTTAATTCGCTCTAAGCTAGATTATGGCAGTATTCTTTATATGACATCTAGTAGCTCCCTACTAAAGTCTCTAAACACGATTCAAAATACATCCCTACGACTATGCCTCGGTGTTTTCAAATCAAGCCCCGCTGAAAGTCTGTGCGTTGAATCTTCAGAGCCACCACTCCATCTAAGAAGGCAGCAGCTTCTACTTTCATACTTTGTAAGAATATCAGCAAACCCAAGTAACCCGGTAATAAATCTAATCAATCCCATAGAACCTCCCCCAGTAAACGCTTCCAATCAGTCTCTCACATTACCACAAATATTATCTCCTTTATTAGATTCCATCAACCTCTCCAATACTACTTCTATTTATACCCCCAAGACAGCTCCATGGATGCACAATCTTCCAATATTCAATACAGATTTATGCAGATTCGACAAAACAGAAACCCCAAACTTAATCCTTAGAAAATCCTTCCAAAACATCCTTAACTTAACACAATTTGATGAAATTTTATACACCGATGCGTCCAAGAATGAAGACTGTTGTGGCTCCGCTGTGTCCACACTGACGACGACAATAAGCTCTGTGCGATTGCCTAAAAGTTGTAGTATCTATACCGCAGAATTATATGGAATACTCCAAGCATTAAAGACTTCAATCCGTCCTACTTCAAATGAAAGCATAAAAATCGCCATTTGCACTGATTCTCTTTCCTCGATTTATTCAATAAGATGCATTTTCTCGAAAAACCCACTAGTCCAGGAAATCCACACTATCTGTAACCAACTATATTCTGCTAACATAAAAGTCATAATGATCAGACCAAGCCGCTAAAGCAGCATGCTCTTCTGATATAGCCTTCCAAGAGGTCCAAATCCATACGGATCTTAAAATATTGATAAAACAAAAAATCCTCAGCTCATGGGCGGACCTGTGGAGTAAAACAAAAACTAAGCTCCATGAAGTTCAGCCCAACTTATCTCGCGTCAATATCTCCTCTAAGAACAGGAAAGAAAAATCAGTTATTCACCGACTACGAATAGGGCATACACGCCTCACTCATGGATACCTTATGGAATCAGAAAACCCTCCAGTATGCCACTACTGTAATAAGGTCCTTTTCATCAAACACGTGATAGTGGACTGCTGCCAGTATGACTCTTCCAGAAACAAGCACAGCCTAAAAGGAAATCTAAAAGACATTCTCAGTGTTCCAAACCGTTTTGACAGTGTTCTTAGATTTTTAAAAGAAACAAGTTTATTTCAGCTAATATAAACAGTGCATAGTGATAAGCTTTATTGTTCTAACCTTTCTATAAAAAAAAAAATGTTCAGATTAAATTCTTGTACCTATACCTATATAAAATATGTATATTGTTGTAAACCACTGTACCTTGTGTACCACTGTGCTTTGTAAGAGCAAAGAGATCGTAACCACATCTTTTTTAAGTGTTCCAAATATTTTCAGCATTCAGGAACATAATATAGAATAATAAAAAGTCTATGATTGCCTGATTAAATTTATACATAGTGCAAATGTGTGTCTGTAGTCAATCTTAGCTAAGCTCCTTAAACCATTGTTTTAACCCCATTGTTGTTTACCTTTCTTTCTATGTTCTGATCGGTCTCTGGACGAGAAGTAATTATCCCTGTTTTTCCTGATATTTGTTTTTTTTTTGGCTATCATTTCCCTTTTTTTTTTATTCAATTATAGAGATTTTATGAGCTTTATTTGACTCGAATAGATACACTTTTTGCACTAGCAATTATTAGTATAGATATACATTTTTTTTGTTTTCTTTAGTAATAATTATATTAGAAGTTAAGTAATTTGTCAACACGTAATTGGCTAAGTGCTAAAGCCATAAAAAAATATTATTGTTTATACTGTACCTTGAGTTTTGTATTGTACAACAGCTACTGTTAAATGGATTTCATTGGGATTTAGGCGCTGACTTGAAGATATTGAGTAATATCTCGGTTGAAGTACACTTAATTGTGCGGAAAGAAGAGCGGCATGAGGTAGAACTGAGGGGAATTGTTCTAAAACTTCTAAAAGATGAGGATACCTCCAGTGACGCCATTCTTCGTATGAAGCGGAGTCCTTAAAACAAGATTCAGTAAGTAACCAATACATTACATCACTAGAATATTCCTAACATAGTTAGTTTTAATATAAGAATCTAAAATTTTATAATAGAGTTCATAATTCAGTAATTCTATACCAAATCATGAGAGCGACTTGAAAAAATTTGTATTGTAGTACTTACTGTGGCAAGTAAAGTTAGTTGTTTTTTGTCTTCTTCACTAGTTGCTATGGATGCGAAGTATTTTAACAAATTTGGTGTTGCTGGTGTGGTTATATCTAAATACCGCTGATATAGTTCCCTTATGGAACAACTGGGTAATCTTTGATGGGGTTTCCAATTTCTAACAATACCTAAAAAATAAAAAAAATGTTAAAACTAAGATTGACTACTATACGACAAATGTGAGTGGAGCTGTGAAGGTTAAATAGGTTATCAATTGTTCGTTTTATAGCATTAATATAGTTTTTCCAGTAATACATATTTTCTTTAATAAAGTAATTATCCATTTTATTCTTTGTTTATCCATAAGTTTCAGGAATTCTACACAAAACTTAGGCCCTATAGCTTTACCATCTTTAGTTTTTTAATATCTTACGTAACTTGATCGATGGTAATGGTGAGTCCTGTTTGACTTTGTTTGTCTTCAACGGTATTCTGCCTTTCATCTGCAAAGGTAACTTCCACATATTTTTTTCTTCCACACTTAATCGTGGTCAGCCTTGATTGTCCTTTAAATACCAAACTCTTCTAGGCTTGTAAAAGCCTGAAGCTTCTTTTAATATTCTGTGCATATTGAATAAATCGTGTTTTTGTTGCAATAGCTGTATTTTCACATAATGTTCTTTTAGCCACATATTATTAGTTATTCTTATTGCTTTTTTGATCTCTCTGTCTATCTTTTTGTATAATCACCTGTCCTGATCACTAAATTTTCGTCTCTCCTTCCTTGTTGGTTTGAGGAATTTGTCTTATAGGTCTTGTGAAACTGTATGCAACTTTTAAAGCTCTGGATCCAATAAATTCGTTTGAATAACGGTAATCAAGTTGTTCTGATCTGTTATAATAAACTCTTCTTCTGGTACAGATTCACCTAATCGCCTGCCTCACTCATTTCTTTCTCTAAGTGGTAACTGTCCTGTAAATTCTTCAGATTGTCTCGTATCAATTTTGGCATTTAGATCACCTCTAATCAAAGTCCATTTAAGAAGGCTTTTTAAAAGTGTTGAGGAGCATTGAATGCTACTTTATTTACACTTTGAACGTGCCACTGGTAAATAGTCAAAAAAAAAACCCGTGTGAAAACGGACTTTATTTTATTTAAGACAATAAATGCATGACTATTGGGCGTCCGCCTGCTAATAAATATTGTGCTTCGCTTCGCTCTTTGCCGCTCTCATTCTCGAATCTTGATTGTGGATGTGCTTTTGCTTTACGATGCGTTTCTTGACTGGGTTTCTTGGGACTCGTCTTAATCTTCGCATATGGCACATATCTGCATAGGCACTACGTTGCGGTATCGAAAAAAATGTATAAAAGTAACTTAAAACATATAGTGAAGTGAACATGGCTCTCGCCTTGCCAAACACTACAACAACATCGACTACTAACGCTAAATATTCGAATGTTTGAAATGCACTTATTCAAAAATGGGCAAAGGACAAACCTTTTAAAAAAGAACGAGTAATAATACCATTGTATATCTTCATTTTAAAAACTCTGGCTACACCATTACTGCCGCGTATAAGTTTGATCACGCGACCTAACTTCCACCTTAATGGAGGGAAATTGTCCTCTTTTACGAGCACTAATACGTTTTTCGCAACTCCACCAGTAGTCACCTAGTAGTCCATTTGGTACATTTTTGTAGTTCGGCGATTATTTGTTCTATCTTTTCCAAATATGCTGAGAACGCTGCTGAATATGCTGGAGTTTTGAGAGCCAGATAACTGGAATATAAAGAAAATCTGGATGTGGATTGGTAATAAGTGATCCTCCGATGAGAAAATGTGCAGGAGTTAATGAGGAGATTATTTTGGATCACAGGATAAAGGATGAATAGGTCAGGAATTTATTATAAATTTAATCTGCACCAGCAACTAATAAAATTCCTCGAACGAGAATAAGGAGGTATAAAGGGATGGTAAGACGCTATGGGACAGAGCTAGAAGTACAGATATACGACATATAAGTAAGGTGGAGAACATTAAAAACTGGGTAAGAAATAGAAGAGTAGAATAAAACAATCATATAAGCCGAATGGGCTTATTTATAACCAACAAAGGAGGCTATACTGAAGAAATAAAGCTGCGGTCAGCAATCGCAAAAAGCGCTATGGCAAAATTAACAAAAATTTGAAAAAGCCATGAAATAACTACCGATACAAAAATGAGATTAGTAAGAAGTTTAGATTTTTCAGTTTTTACTTATGCATCGGAATGCTGGACCCTTACTGAGAAAGACAAAAAGAACATAGATGTATTTGAGATGTACTGCTGGAGACGAATGCTGAGAATACCATGGGTGGGCCGAAGAACAAATAAATCCATACTAGACCAGCTGAGCATAAAGAAAAGACTCAGAACACAAATATCAAAACAAATAATAAGCTATTTTGGACATGTGCTCCATTGTCAGAATGTGCTAGAATGGCCGAAGATAGAAAGACATGGAGGACCATTGGGAAATTTAGCTAATACCTACATAATATCACGATACCTGCATCAGGTTAACGACTAAGAAGAAGAATAAGCCGAATGACAACAAATAGAGTAGTAAAGACGGCAAGAGATTGTTCCCCGATAGGAAGACGATCAGTAGAAAGATCACGAAAACGATGGAATGACAACTTACTAGCACATTGAAAAACAGACAGAGTCATGTCTATATAAAAAAAGGAAGAAGAAGAAGCGAGGATTCTTTAATCGCGAGAGTATGCTGCTTTAAAAATTTTCTTAACACTTTTAACTCCGAACTAGCGGCTATGAAAATGGTTTCATTATCGAAAACCATCTTTTGAGGCTTTATGCACAATAAATCTTTTAAGGGCCAACAGAAATGATTCCTTAGACAGTTCTGTAACTAATTCTAAATATATGGCATTCGTACAAAAACAAATGAAAAGGCACATATAACTCTTTATTAGTTAATAAAATTGACCCCTTGCTATCGGGAATTAAGTAAGGGACCGCGTAATCTACACCTGTTACAATAAACGGTGGCCGAACTGCGAGACGCTGGGCAGGTAGATCTCCTATTAGTGGCTGAATCCATTTAGATTTTAAGCGAAAATATTTTTCACATTTGTGTACTGTACGTCGTGATAAATTTCTTCCTGATAATGGCCAGAAGGTTCGTCTTACTGTAGAAAGTAAAAGCTGATGGCTAGCATGCATAAGATCCTTGTGAAAGTGATCAAATAATAATACTGTAACTACATAATCTGCCTGTAAAATTATAGATAGGATCTTTTTTGTTATACGCAAACTCGGAATGTCATAAACCCTCGCCTACTCTCATGATGCCCTGATCATCAAGAAATGGAAAACTTATGAGTTTGCTGGTTTTCTCGAGAGATCCGTTTTGGTCCAAACGGCTAATTTTATTAGAAAATGACTGTAATTGGCACAGTTTTAGAATACGGTTAAACGCAGAATGTATTTCTTCCACAGAAAGGAGTCCGGAAGTTCTCTCGATATTTTTACACATGCAGATGAATCTGAACACATATGCAGCGGTTTTATTTTAATGTGAACTATTAGAAAAACGCTCAAATGGAAATACTTCCGTATTTTGTATTTCATCAAGCTTGTTAGTAAAGACCTTTATGTTTTTCCTCTTTTCGCTTGTTTCAGTAGAAGCAACTTGTAAATTTGGCCCCTTATCTGAGTCTTGCATGATCCACTTCGGTCCATGCCACCATAAGTTACATTCCATCATTTTATCTGGTTCCACGCCTCTGGCCACTAGATCTGCAGGATTTTCCTTGCTTGGCACATGACGCCACTATGCAAACGAAGTTGTTCCTGGATCTCTGCTACGCGATTACTCATAAACGTCTTCATTACATTGGCTGATGTTTTCAACCAACTAAGTACTATCGAGGAATTTGTCCAGAGGCAACAGGTATTAAATTGCACATTTAATGAATTTTTGACCTTATTGGTCTAACGCGATAAAATGACTGCTCCATAGAGCTCTAAATGCGGCAAGGTGACTGGCTTTAAGTCACATAATAAAAGTGAATACGATCTACCTAAAGAATCAGTATATTTGATGAATACGCAAGCAGAATACGCTCTTTCTGAGGAGTCGCAAAATCCATAAAGTTTATTTTGACTTCACTTGTTTAAGTTTCCTAGTTTATTCTAAACTATAAATAATTTTTCGTTAAAAGTTCAGGTACGGAATCATCCTATGAAAGACGCTCTTGCCTTAGATTTTATAACATAATTTTCGCTATGGTTGTACACGCACTTAATAGACCCAAAGGATCAAAAATTTGAGCTAGGCTTGATCATAAAGTTCGCTTGAATGAACTCATACTATAAAAAAAGTATCTGATTGCGGTGAGTACATTAATCCCAAAGTTTATGCTCTCTCGTATTCACCTAATTGAATAACGGAAGCTGTAGTTAATTTATCCTGTATATCTTTAAATATTTTAAAATTATTTGAATATAATTTACGCAAAGTAAATCTTACTGAATATTCGTAAGAAGGTCCTGAAATGTTATGTGTGGTCGATCCTATTGTATGGTTGTGAGACATGGACGTTAAAAACCACAATGCTAAACAAGTTAGAAGCATTCGAATTGTGGTGCTATAGACGAATACTAAAGATATCGTGGGTTTCGCACACTTCCAATGAAGATGTTCTTCAAATGATCAATTCAGAACGTCTGCTCATAAACACCATAAAGAGGAGAAAAACAGAATACTTCGGCCATATAATTATAGGACGTACATACCATTTACTTCGCCTTATAATACAAGGAAAAGTGGAAGGAAGGAGATGGATTGGTCGAAAGAAACTTTCATGGCTGCGTAATATTAGACAATGGTGTGGTTCCACAGTAGAAGAATTATTTCGCGCAGCAGCCGATAGAGAAAGGTTTCAGGAAATTGTAAACATGATGACAGCCAACGTCTGAATACGGACACGGCACCCAAAGAAGAAGAAATCTTCTGCCTTTGAGTACCTCAAAAAGTTGCTTACAAGTTTTTGAATCAAAACCTATGAAAAGGTCGTCCACATAAAAATCAGATTTTATAATGCTAGCAATATTGGCATTTTTAGCTTGTTGCTCTTCCGCTAATGTCATTAAATATTTTATGATGTTTTGACTAAAAACATATAATGGCGTGAACAAGCATTCTTTACGATATAGGTACAAAGTTCTTAACGTGTCTTGATTTAAGAATCTTCATTGATGATTACTAATCTCACGTTACCCAGCGTAACTTTTACCTCATTACCTCACGAGTTTGTCCAGATTATTTTGCATATTCCCATTATGCTAATCCATATCCTTGGCTCTACTATGAGCGCTAGTTGCCTCTTATAATGTTTTAACATTCTATGTGCAGATGGTGAGGTTTTTCTTCACACTAGATTGGCAAGGATTTCATTTGTTAGCAACCAAGAAGACCTTATATTCTGGTCATTGTCCATATTTTTCGGATATTGGTATCAGTAATACCTTTATCATATTTTGATTTAGTAATACTAATTGTACTATCGAAATTCTCTGAATCTTTAATGCAGTAGTTTCTTGTCAGCTCGTTAATAAATTTAAATAAAATTCTAGTTAATAAACTTAGATACACTGAAATCATGTAACGCTAGTTTAACTTCGCAGTACAATCGACGAAGTCACTAAAATAACAATAAACTAATTACAAATTACATTTACAGTTATGAAAAATGCAAAAACTGCTCAAGCATCACCAAAGCATAATACAGTTAGGACCTATAACAATAATCACTTATTTATTTTTCAATACTTATAATGTCTGTGACAGCTTTTACATTTTTGGTAGTGGTAGGTGGTTGGTGGAAGTGCATGCATACTGTGAGACGGTAAGCCAGTGGCAATCTTTGACGGTACCATCGTAATATATCTTAACTTTTTTAAAATGGACAAAATTGATAAATTACTTACCGTTTGATGTATGGGTCTCTTCCATCAATTGCAACTCTACAGAAACATCGGGATTGTCAGCCCCCCTTAACTTCTTAATAACTCCATCCACAATATCTGACCGATTCAATGGATAGACGGCAAGATGATCACCAGGTTTGTATGTTGAAGTTGAAGAAAACTCCAGAAGTATCGTGGATTTCGGGTCATTGCTTTTATGTAAATTGGTTCTTCGAATAAGTTTTGATGGGTTTATCTAAATATATTAATGTTTAAAAATAAGCTCAAAAATAAACGGTTGGTGAATTTAAATTATTTTAAAAATTTGGTTATTGATAGGATCCAGGAGTGGATTGTATCCCCGCAGAGCTCATCAAACATGGAGGTAACAGCATTATGCACCAAATTCACAACATAATAGTCAAAGTCTGGGAAGAAGAACAAATGCCAGAGGAATGGTGCACTGGAATCATATGTCCACTACACAAAAAGGGAGATTTGTTGGAATGTAAAAATTATAGGGGTATAACTCTTCTGAATACAATGTACAAAATATTCTCCAACACCCTGTACAGCCGTTTAAGTACGTACGTGGAAGAAATCCTTGGTGAGTATCAAAGCGGTTTTAGGCCAGGTAGGTCAACAATTGACCAGATTTTTGTGCTACGTCAAATCTTAGAAAAAACCAATGAATTTAATATTGACACGTTCCATCTCTTTGTGGACTTTAAGTCAGCGTATGATAGCGTCCTAAGAGGTAAATTATACGAAGCCATGAATGAACTTAACATTCCCCATAAATTAATAAGGCTCGTAAAAACAACTATGAGTAAAGTGATCTGCAGAGTGCAAATACAAGGCGATATGTCACAAGCGTTTGAAACATATGCAGGGTTACGGCAGGGAGACGCGCTGGCGTGCCTTCTCTTTAATATAGCGTTAGAAAAGACTATAAGAGATGCTGAGTTACACAATAGGGGAACAATCTTTAATAAATCAACGCAGATTATGGCGTACGCTGACGATTTGGATTTGATTGCACGTACTACACGAGGACTTAAAGAGATGACTTCCACCTTCTTGACAGCCGCACAAAACATGGGCCTTAAAATAAACGAGGAAAAAACCAAAATGCTAGCATCTATTCCAAATAACAGAGATAGAGCTAGAAACGCCGAACAAAACTTCAGTATAGACCAATATAATTTTGAGGTAGTAAATAAGTTTACATATTTGGGTTCTCTCATAACAAACGATAATGACACATCTGAAGAAGTTAAACGGAGGGTACTGCTAGCAAACAAATGTTATTTTGGACTAAGCAAGCAGCTAAAAAACAGAAACTTAAGCCAGAAAACCAAACTAATAATATATCGAACACTCATCCTACCAGTGCTGACATATGGGTCAGAAACATGGACCATCTCCAAAACAGACGCAAATCTTCTGCTCGTCTTCGAAAGGAAGATACTAAGAAGAATAATGGGCGCATTCTGTGAGAATGGTATTTGGAGAAGGCGATATAATTTCGAATTGTACGAGAAATATAAAAAAATAGTAAATGGTAGAGATGTAATATCCTTCATAAAAATAGGCAGGCTTAGATGGGCTGGACATGTGTCAAGAGCAAATGAAAATTACCCACCCAGACGAACTCTATTATCGGTCCCAGTGGGAAATAGGAGTAGAGGCAGACCACGACTGAGATGGAGGGACGGTGTAGACGAGGACGCAAGGAAAATCGGCGCGGCAAATTGGCAACGGTTGGCGATGAACAGAAACGACTGGCGAAATAGACTGGGGAAGGTCAAGGCTCAACTAGAGCTGTAGCACCACTGATGATGATGATGATAAATTATGAAATTGCAACTAACTTTTGGAATTTTGGAAATAAAACAAGTAACACAACGCTGCACCACTCTACCTCATTATTACTTAGAGAACTCTTATAAAGATAACAAAATGACATATTTGGGGACTGTGATAACAAACCAACTAGATCCAGACATAGAAATAAAATGTAGAATAGCAATGACTAAAACTACTTTTATGAGAATGAAGTCATTTCTTTGCAATAAGCGTCTCAGTTTAGAACTAAGACAAAGAATGGTTAAGTGTTATGTTTGGTCCGAACTTTTGTATAGTTCAGAAGTGTGGATGCTAAAAGTATCGACCATGAACAAAATTAAAGCATTGGAAATGTGGGTTCATAGACGAATGCTGAAGATCTTGGACAGCAAGGAAAACTAAGGAGCTCTAATGAACAAGTACTAAAGAGCATCAACAAAGATAGAGAACTGCTAACGACTGTTAAACATTGAAAAATGTCTTATCTGTAATATATAGTAAGGGAAAGTTGATATAAAATATTACAACTGATACTTTAAGGCAAAAACAAGTTTCTGGGTTAAAAAACATTCGTGAATGGGCTCAGAAATCAAATGCAGGATAATTATTCCTTATTGCAGCAGATCGAGAAGCCTTTGAAATGGTAATCGCCAAAGTCGAATAATTCCAAAAACATACCTTGGTTTCATTAACTGATAAGAGTGTCTCGACTGTATCAAAAACAAACATCAATACACTTACTTTTTTATTGTGACATTTAGATAATCCCTCCACAGCAGAGGTCGTTGTTCTTTCAAGGAATCTTACATTTTGTTCTGTCAATTCCTTATCCATTCTATTTCTAGCATCGTCTACATCAACAACTACATCGTCCAGACAGAATGTATCACAGGCGACCTAAAAACAATTATTTTATTTAGTTTATGTTACAAGAAATAATATTTATCCTATTTAAGCACATGTATTATTGAACGAGGATCTTAATGAAGAAAAATTTTAAGTAGTAATTAAAAAAACTGACCGTAAATACTTGGGGTGCCCACTCGTTAAAGGCTTGTTCTAGTCCACAAAGCTCATCTCCTGTGGTCAGTTTCATAATCCGCTCTCCTCCAAGTTCTCCCAGTAACTTGTCCACGTACTTTCCGAAGGCAGCAAAGTGTGGATAGGCACTCGAACCTAATCCAAATACTGCGAACCTAAATATTCATCTCATATGTTATTACATTGTTACAAAAAAATTTCTTATTTGTATTTCTTGTCAACCATATTTCATTTAACATGTTTTTGCACAAATATATCAATATTTTGATTTTGTCTTGAGATTATGTTTAAGATAAAGTTATTTTAAAACACAAGAAAGTTAATACAAATATAATTAACATTACTGTACCATTTTACTGGCCAAGGCTTTTTTTCACACATGAAGGAAGTAAGCTTTACACCACTCTAAGTAGAGATGCCTGTGACTGAACTTACGAAGGAAAAAGTGACGAAAGCTGGCAAAACGCGCAAAGTAGGCAAAGTGCTTGGAGATAATAATAAAAATCATCATCGAGGAGAAAGTGCAATGGGCATAGGATATTCGATATACCAGGAAATCTGAGATCTCATACTTGTCTCGAAAGCGGGAAAGGAATTAGACGAGCCTTGAGCTTACAGACCTTTATGCCTGTTAAATACCTTAGGCAAGGTCTTTGAGATTCTTGTGAAGGCAAAACTAAAGAGGAAGATAATGGATAGAAATGGCATATCCGCCCGTAAGGGTTCAGGAAAAAAATCTGTAGTAGACGCCATAAGCAGGATCAAAAGTTAATTATCCATGTATGGGAAAAGGTTGATAGTGGCTTTGTTTCTCCATATAAGAAGTGCTTTTAATAGTGCTAGCTAAAAATTATCGTCAGACTGGGCGACTTGGGATATCTTCCTATCTACAGAACTTAGTCAAAAAATACTTCACAGATAGGTGCATCGTTATTGTGCGAGGTAACTTTATGAGTACAACTTTAGAAGCCCGAGATTTTGAAAGCCGACCTAGGCATTAATGTACAGACAATAGAGTCTGCGGAAGACCTAGTGGTGCTGGTGAAGCACAACAAAAACTAGCCAATCATGCATAGAGCGAACCGAGCACTCAGCAAAGTGAAGACGTGGATGTGAAAAAAAGATATACTGGCGGCCGAGAAAACTGAAGCATGGATCAGTGATCCTGGAGGGTTTGAGGACCAAAGACCATGTTGTTTTTGCACTAAAGGGAGAAAGGATCTTACCTGCAAAAAAAGTAAAGTACTTTGGGAGAGACGTAGATAGAAGGCGAACCTTTGGTGATCACGTGAAGTACTTCGTTCGCAAGGCAGAGGCAGAAAATAAAAAAATTGGTAATTCTCAATGTAACTTGAAGCAATTAGTACAGTAAGTAATTTTGAACTCAAAAACAAGCCCATGAACGTTATGGAGTAGGATTTTGGTATTAGTAGGTCATAATATCGAAGAAATCTCATATTATTAAATTAGGTCTCATATAACGACGAAAAATAGTAATACTCAAAGTTACAAAACTGCTCTAATAAGGACCAACACAGCAATGCTTATAACTTACCGATAAAGCTCCATGTACTTCTTTATTTAAAAAAAGGCGACTTTGGATGAGTACTTTGGTTTAATATTGACTGATTTGGTTACGCATTATTTTCTTAAAGAAAAAATGCCATGGAGAGTTTTGAACGCTTAAGAAGTCTTTATATCTAACTGTGTGCTACTAGACTTAGTTATTATCTAAAGATAATAATTAGCTCCGTCTTTAAAAAGGACATAAAGAACTAGTGTGAAGCAATGAAGGTCTATATGTAAGCCAATAGGTCGATAAGATATCTGAAGTAATATTGAACACCTATGAACATTTTTTAAATATTTATGCAGTGGGGTGAAAAGAATTATTGAACTGGAAAGATCGAAGGAGAATTCATATATGGATGGTGTCTTAAATAAGAAAAATTTGAAGCGTATCAAGTGCATTTTTTTAAAAATTCTTCTTAAATATAACGCGGCTTTGAGTTTGCCATTTCTTCAGAAGAGTATGTAGATTTGTATAATAGTTTAGGAATATTGTGATTATTGTTTTATATATTTGTAAGTAGGAGTTTGGAAATGAACCCTGCCGAGTTTACTGTATAAGATACTGAGGATAATAATTTATTCAAATTTAATCTGACAAATTTTTTAAATTTTTTAACGTTTTTAACCTTCTTTTTTAAAATGTTACTAAAAACATTAATATTATTTACAAAATAGTTTAAATATAGTAACATTTCTTGATTGACAAAAAAACAAACGTTTTTATAGTTTCGAATATAGCAGAAAAAATAATAAAAAAGCAGAATATAGTGAAGAATGCTTAGGAATAACAAATTCTATATACAGAAAATAAAAATAAATAAGCCAATAAGATAGTTGTAAAAGTAAAGAAAATAATATATACACATATGCCGTTTGTGCAGACTAATAAAATAAAGCTAAATATATATAAGCACTATCATATATTAATTGTATTACAAGCTACTAAAACAAACCTTTTAATGAAAACTTGCTCATTAAATTTTTAATCGTCTTTTTTTCTTCTATTCAAAGTCGATGTATCTGATAATACCGATGGATCGTGAACATAAGAACCATGGCACACTAAGGAAAGTGTTTGCCGTGCCTTACACCATTTGGTCCTAACTTTTGAAAGTGAATTAAACTATTCTTGTTCTTCTTCTTCTTCCTCCTCTTTGTATCTATCTTATTTGGCTGTCTATATAGTGTTGCCCAAATGCAAGAACAAGACGAGACTTAAACAGTATTGGTCTTAGTCTTGCACCAATATACCTGGTCTTGGTTTTGGTCTTGGTATTGCGCTCCCAACCTTGGTCTTGGTCTTGCAGCAAGAGTCTTGCAAGTCTCGCAAATACCCATTAGCCTATTGCTATTTATTAAACGTTACTTTAGATCTTGAACAACGTAACACAGTAGGTACATTTTAAGCTTGAATTAACATAGCCATAAAAAGACCAACCAAATTAATGAATGTCTAAACAACTGAAACTGGGAGGGGTTTGAACCCAAGATCTAAGCGATCCGTGCCTATGCTCTAACTAGCTGAACTATCTACCATGTCCCACGGGAGTCAATCTGTTGTTTAATAAGCGTTTGCTTTTAACAAGCTTACGTATGCACAAACATGGTTAAAAAATAAAACAACCAAATTAACGACATAAACTTGACTGTATTTTAAAGAACATCATTTGTCTAGAAAGGAATTGGTGGACCCTCACCTTATTTGAAATGAAATAAAATAGTTATATAATTTGCCATTTATTTAAATAAAAAATAAAATACAACACAATGCACAATAGACTTTTACATTACTGATACTTTATATTTATTCCTTTGACCAAGAATTAATACAAAGTAACCATCCGGCTGACTCATCACTTAACCAATTTCTATGTTTTCTAATTACTAACGATGCTTTAGAAAATAATCTCTCAGCAGGTACTGAAGTTGCTGGTATTAAAAGAAAATCACGGGCCATCCTCGATAAAGTCGGATATTTTGTCTCATGCGTCCTCCACCACTCTAAAATGTCTTCCGAGTTAGCGGCTCTGGGTTTACTTAGGTACTCCTCCAACTCGTGAATGACTAAGCCTTGATGACAAGATCCAGATGAAGTCGAGGAGCATTCATACAGTTTCTAGTCTATTAGGTCTATTAAGTCTTCATCTTCATCATATTCAGATACTTTCTTTTCATTTCTTGGTGATTCTAGAGATTTATTTACTGGGTTTAGAGTTTTGTATTCTTTGTAAAGTTTATTAAATTTTCGCAGGACTTTTGTTTTAATTGGCTTCCCCCATAACGTCATGTCAAAAGTCTGAGCCTTATGCCTATGGCCTAAAATTAAAGAGATGCAATAAATCCAGTTGCTCTTCTTATAATGTTTAAGCATTTTTCTCGAGCTGCTTGAAAACCAAGAATAAGCCTTTTATCCACTTCAGATCGATTAGGTTTCTCATCTAATTGTTTTACGATGGATTCAATTTTATCGAGCAAGAGATTGAATGATACAATCACTAGTGGTAATGTAACATATTTTTCTCCACCAAGTTTTGTTGACAAACGTTTTAAGTTTATTAGAAACTTATGAACTTTTTCGAGTGTTTGCCATTCACTATCTGTGATGTTAAAATCGTTCAATTGTCCGTTTCATTGTCAGTTTTACTGTATAATGCTGAGGTATGTAATAGATCTTGTATGTATCTTGTACTGAATAAAAAACCGAGAATTATTATCGTTACTTCGTTACTTTTAATATATCGGTATTTTGTTTACACTGTAATCGACATTATCTCTTTGTTTGTTATCTCGTTACTTTTGAATGTTAGCCTGATTCTTTCAGCAAATTTTGAATGGTATCATCGCATACTCAGCAAAAAAGATGTTTAGTCTTAGCCCATAAAATTTGTGGTATTTAAATTTCTCGTAACTAAATTATAAGGAAAAAAATATGCTAACCTAATTATATTTTTTATCAGCTAAGGTGATACATTTTTAAAAAGTTTCGATACAATATTACTGTCAGCGTCGCAAAGCAAAGATATTATTTTATTCTTAGAAGAGGCTATTCTCAAAATCTGAACAATTAATTTCAGAGTGAAGAAGTAGTGTACTGGGAAAGAATGTACAAAATATTTTATTTTTAGATTGTAATTATGAACTCTGAGTACGTGTCAAATTTTTAAGTGTTCTTGTAATGAATATTTGATTCGCTATGTATGTTTATGGTATTTTTCGTAATGCACAAGTCAAATTTTTTCAAATTTTTGGTAATACTTCTTTGCGTCTCATAGAGTCTCTAAGCATAAACCCGAACTATTATACTCCTTCAAACCACACTCAGTCCTAACTGCAAGATGCAAGAGTCTCGCAGGCTTAGTCTTGTTCTTGCTCAAGTCTTGCATGGTTAGTCTTGGTCTTGGTCTTGCAAAAATTAGGCAGTCTTGGTCTTGGTCTCGGTCTTGAAAAAACGCAAGAACAAGACCAAGACCGATTTTGGGCAACACTACTATGTATTCCCATTGCCCATTTCTATATATTCTGTAAGTTATCCATCTATTCTGACTTACATTTTGTTATTTTGGTAGATATTTTCAATAGCTTA